TAACAGTTTTAGTAAACCAGCCTACCTTGCTAATCCTGAATCTAGATCTGATTGGCTTGTCTTACCTGGAAAGTTTTCATTACTTACTGATGGCAGCTGAATCAATGATATAAATATACAATGTAAATATACTAAAGCTATATATAAAACTTTCTAGTTTAGGAACAAGAAAGAATTAAAGACTAAAAAGTTGCATCTTTTTTAAATGTTTGCAAGCAGTATGAGAGATGCTGTCTCACAGAGCCCAGATGTGAGCCGGTTTCCAAAAAGAAAATGGTCCTAAAATGTAAGTGTGGAAGCCTATCACGGAGTATATAAGTCCTGCTCTGCAGAACAGGATATTCCACACTTCACTCTCCTCTCCAGTAATCTTTAGAATGCTCAGTATGGATTTTTCTTTTTAAAAGAAATTCTCAGTCCTGATTTTATCCTCCCAGGTCAAGAAAGCAGTCCTCCCAAACCACCTAGAGCAAAATGGCCTCTTTAAGCCCCTTTAAAATAACAACTGAATAATTCCTTATTTACTATTTCTGTTCAAATATGAAATGGGAACCTGCCAGAAAATGTTGCTGTGTTTATTCTGCTCCTATGTTTGGTTACATCTCCACATTTTAAAAGTACAAACGAAGACACAGAAATCTTTTTATTTTAATCATTGCTTTTAAATGTATAATTGCATGCATATTCATTGCACCCTACAAGACATTTTGAATGTATCTAGTATTGTTTCTTGCAACATATATTTAAGCACTTATTGGATGATACTGAATGATACCCACTAGCAGAATGGAAACTGTGGACTGTGGAACAAACCAATTCCCTCTCCACTGTGGCCCCAACCCTGCAAAACTGATCCAGAAGGTTGGGGGACTCTCAGGAATACACACACACACACACACACACACACACACACACAGAGAGAGAGAGAGAGAGAGAGTTACAAACTTAATTCATTCCAGAGGTACGTTCTTAACCTGATGTACCACTTTAGCTAATGGGGCCTCCCGCTGCCGCAGGCACATGATTTCTGTTCTCATTCTGAGGTAAAGTTCTTAACCCGAGATATGACTTGCGGGTTAGCGGAGTCTGTAACCCAAAGTGTTTGTAACCCGAGGTACCACTGTGTGTGTGTGTATTACTGTGTGTAGCACTTAAAAAATGCAGACATGCATAGTTCATTTATGCATATAATGTTGTATATTTACTTTAAAAATCTTCAAAAGCTTTTCGGATTATTTACTTATAAAAATATAGTGGTACCTTGGTTTTCAAACATAATCAGTTCCAGAAATCTGTTATGAGTTCCGAAACGTTGGAAAACTAAAAGCGGAAGCCTCAAAACAAAAGCCGCGTTTCCTGTTTGACTTCCAATGCGCGTTCAAAAACTGAGGAACTTACTTCCGGGTTTTCAGTGTTCGAGTTACACAATGTTTGACTACGGAGGCGTTCTAAAACTGAGGTATCACTATTCATAAAAAAAATCAAGATCCATTTACAACAATATGTCAAATTGTACAATAAAAGCATATAAAATTCTGATTAAGGCTCTGTTTACCCACCAAAGGAAATGGCATGCTTTCCTAATCTAAATTCATTCCCCCCCAGATGCAACACTCCAACTGAGCGGAGAAACTGTAGGTATACATCCCATGGTGCATACATTGCCTTTTGGGTAGCTTCTCTTGTCCTCAGAGCTTTGTATATACATGGTGCTTTGAGCTTGATTGCTCCCAAGCAAATAATTATTGTACCAATGGTGTCAGCTGGTTTTCAAGTTAGCACATTTTGACCTGTCAAGATCTAGCAGTAGCGCAAATGATTAACTTCTAAAGAAAATCATCTACATAGGTTAGGGGTGTGTGTGTGTGTGTGTGTGTGTAAAATGCAACAGTCTGGTCAAATGCAAAGTGCTCTGTTTCTGCTGGAACTGTGCCTTGGCATGTGTACACACAATTTAATCATGCTCTTTTTCTCGTGCACCCGCTATCTATGATTTTCTATTTTAAGGCAGTTTTTGTGTGTTTACACTTTCTATTTATATATGCATTTCTATTTTGGTACTTGGAAGCTTTTTTTAAAGGACCAGACCAAGGTCAGAGCAAAACTGAGTTTGGCCGATTAAACACCATCTGTAGCTTACTTCCGCTGACTTCTCCAAATTCCCAAGCAACTCTCGGTATTTCGAATCCCTCCTTTGCACTGAAGCTTTGTAGTCACCCAATCGTCAGATCTGCTTTATCACTGTGATGATACACCATTAAAGAAACTGTACAGGGGCCTCAAAAGGAAATGCCAGGGGCTCTTCTGCTTGGATAAAGGGGTAAAGGGGACCCCTGACCATTAGGTCCAGTCGTGACTGACTCTGGGGTTGCAGCGCTCATCTCGCTTTACTGGCCGAGAGAGCTGGCGTAATAAGCCGCTTCTGGTGTACCAGAGCAGCACACGGAAACACCATTTACCTTCCCGCTGGAGTGGTACCTATTTATCTACTTGCACTTTGACGTACTTTCGAACTGCTAGGTTGGCAAGAGCAGGGACCGGGCAACAGGCGCTCACCCCGTCGCGGGGATTCGAACCTCTGACCTTCTGATCGGCAAGTCCTAGGCTCTGTGGTTTAACCCATAGCGCCACCCGCGTCCCTCTGCTTGGATAGTTTGGTGTAAAGTGGTGGAATGTCAGCTTTGCACCAACCCTGCTCTGTTGCCTCTCTATCGTATTTTGTTTCCTAGTGAGAGTTGAATCTAATGGGTGGTATTCAACTAAGAGCAGACCTAATAAATTAAGGGACCTAACTGAATCATGTTTATTAATTTTGGGGGGAGGAGATTCATTGAATGAGCCCCACCAGTGGGAACCTGCACAAAGGCTTCTGCTAGCCCAATGGAGCTTTCCCTCACTCTTTGTCCTCTGCGCGTGCGTGTGCGCACACACACACACACACACACACACACACACACACACACAAAACAGGCTCATGGGAGTTTGCAGAACCCCCAGAAGAGCATGCAGGGTGAGTAAATAGCTGATTGTTTCATCAGACAAGTAGGAATGCTTGTGCTTATGGAGGGATCTGCTTAGCGGTATGTTGAATTCCTACCAGTAGACCTGCTCCAAGTGAAACTTGGTAGTCTGCCACTCAAATATTCCAGAATATGGCACGTAAAGCAATCCCATCAGCACAGTGTTAGAATTACATTAGCATTTCATATTTCTGTGCCACACTGCCTCTATTTTTTGAAGGCAACTGCAAGAAATCTACTCATAGCACTGATGTCCAGGAAAGGCATGAGTAAGTTCTTGAATGGAGTTTGTTTGCTAAATTTGGAGTCAGGAATAGTTTCCTCTCTCCCAAGTCAAAGTTAACCGGTTTGGTATGTTTCATTCTTGCCCTTTCATTGACAGCTGGTGTCATGGTTTGCTCCTGCATAAGAAATAGGTTAATAGTTGTTCTAAAAGCCAAGCTTTCACACTCTTGCAAACACTCTTGCAAACTATTAGGCCTGCCCATGCATGCAAATAGTCAACGTTCTCCATTTACATTTCTCACAATGGAGCAAGATCATGTGCCTAGAGGGAAGCATCTTCTCAATACAAACCCAGAATTACTTTAAAGCTTTATTATGGAAATTCTTCAATTTTACCCTTCACTAAAACAGCAGGACCATGCTCAATTATTATACTTGTTTGCAGTAGGAAACAGAACGACAACACGATCTAGAATAATATATCTAGAATAATAACACTTCTGTTTGTCCCATGACTAGAACACTCAGGTCTGAGCGGGTTTCCCCCTTGCTCTGTTCTTTCCCAGGGAAAACCCACCATTTCGTGTCAAATCAGAGCAAATGTCAATGCAGAGAAAACCCGAACTGCCATTTGCTCCAACTGAGTGCTAAAGAGCAGTTTTCTCCAGGGACAAGCAGCAGGGCAAGAGGAAATGTGGATGAGACCTTGGTCATGTACTCACTTTTATGCCTTGCTCAACTTACTGTTGCTTACCCTTTCCACCCAACTTTTTCTTACATGATATTTAACACAGAATATTAGATCTAATCATTTTGAAGCATATTGGAACATAACTCTGTATAACTGATGACAAAAGTCAGTTACAGAAGTTCATATAGTGTCCAATTCATGAGAAAATGGGGGGAGGAAAGTATGGTCTATGGAAAAACCCCACCTTCTATTCTTTTGCACTTTTCCATGTCAGCTAGCAGCCATTGTTTCCCTGGTCTACTGCACATAAATCTAAGCTCACATAATCTGGAGCATCTGGTGCCAGGATTAGTCCATGGGCCAACTTTAGGCTGTATATTATAAGAACTGAGCTCAGTGATACTACTATTAGCTGGATTGCTTAGGGTTAAAATTTCCTGCTGTGTTAAAACATGATTTTTTTTGTCTATTAGCAAGCAAAGATCATAGGAATTCATGCTGATCATATCTAGTACTTTATAATCCACATCTTCCTATCCCCACTTAGCCTTGCATATTAATACAGTACTGCCTGATAAAACTTTTGTATGAGTACTATTTCCCTCCTCACTCCTAACTAGCCTTTATAGCTTTATTAAAGTGCATTTCAGCTTTCTTGGCTGACTCATTTTACTGCTTTACTTTTACTAATTTCTTATCTGTACCAGTAATAGCGTGCTTCAATCGCTTCACCATGAAATATGTGGAATGTGTCCTTAAGAAGCCTCATAGCTGAAAATAGTTATTTCTTGAGATCTTGCTAGAGACACTCACGGCATTAAGGAAAAGGCTCTTCTTTCTGTAAAATCCCTCTCTTAGCAAATCTGGAAAGAGATGGTTCCCTCCACTAGTATTTAGAAACCCTGGCAAAACCTTGACATTAGTGAAGCCAATTAATAATTAACTGGAATGAATGGCCTGCTTTAATGGAGTGTGGGCTGAGACTCTGCTTCACAACACACTGCTGTCAGCCAAGCGCAGAGAGGAAGCCACAGGCTTTTAAAGAGGCTTCGGATGAAGTGAGGATGGTGCATGGTTCACTGTACAAATCTTCTGAGATCAGGTAAGATACTCTGATGGGTGGGCTGGAATGTGATTTTTGTAGGATCATAAATAAGTCACATTAAAAACACGGCAGTAGATTTAAACTGGAAATAATAATATTTCCACCTCTTTTGACTCACCAGAATGCTTTTTCACTGTTTCCATGTTAGCCTTATATTAGTTATTATAGTCATTAATCACTAGTGCATGAACTGATGCATTAAAACAAAACAATAAAATCAACAGAATTCTCTTCATTTGTCAAACTAAAGCAAGAAAGCATTGTACGAAGCAGCATAATGATGTAATCATTTTGCTAAAACTAAACTACTATACAAAGGGTGGCATCATAGCTGTCAACCTTCCCTTTTTTTGCGGGAAATTCCCTTATTGCAGCACCGTTTCCTGCTGCTATCCCAGATTGTTAGATATCCTGTAGACTGTCCCCGGGACAGGTGAGGCTGCTGATCCCTTATTTTCAAATCTGAAAGTTGGCAGCTATAGGTGGTATCCAGCGGTGGTTTTGTGCTAGCAGATGGCACTTCCATTCAGAGAAGGTAGAGCACGTGATTTTTGCAGATTTGCCCCTATCTATTGTAGCCTTTTGCATCATAGCCCATACTGTCCTGGCAAGTGGGGTGTCCCTCAACCCTAAGTACCGTATTTTTCACTCTATAGGACGCACTTTTTCCCCTTCAAAAATGAAGGGGAAATGTGTGTGCGTCCTATGGAGCGAAGATGCCATAGCCCCGCGACCCTCTCCCGGCTGGAGAGGTGACGCGCGGCTATGGCAGGAGCCTCTCCGCTGCGCCTTTCCGCTGCTCCCTGACCTGCTCTTTGGGGCTGGTGGTGGGCTTCCCCGCCAGCCCCAAAGAGCAGGTCGAAGGACCTGAAGCCTGGAGAGCGAGAGGGGTCAGTGCACACCGACCCTCTCACTCTCCAGGCTTCCAAGGTAGCCGCTGAACGCACCTTAACCGGCACCTTGTTGTAGAGCGGGAAAACAAGAGGGGGAAAGTGCTCCCCCTCTCTGTGCAGCGCCTCCTGCTGCTTCACTGAAGGGGCGCTGGGCAGAGAGGGGGAAAAATTTTTTTTCTTGTTCTCCCCCCTCTAAAACAAAGTGCGTCCTATTGTCCGGTGCGTCCTATGGTGCGAAAAATACGGTACCTTTCCAGAGCACACAGAGGGTTGCAGCCAATGGGGGAGGCTGGCAGCAACTGTGCCACCATGGAGGAGCCACCTTCTTCTACTAAAGAATAGTAATTTATCTCTGACCTATTTTCCAAAAGGAACTGTCCAAGTGACATGGAGGAGACCTTGGGGGGCTCAGCCTCTCGATGAAAAAGCCAAAGTTTTCTCACTGCCAAGAAAAAAATCATCAGAGGTGGAATTTCCAATATGCCTCAAGTCCAAATGTGAGGGTTGACTTCTTAAAACCTTGAGGTCTTGTTCTGAGGGCCCTTACCTTTTGAGGAGAGGCGGCAGCACTGGCTACAGAGGAACTTACCTCGCAGAACAAATTGCCAAGTGACAGTGCATTCACTGCAAGGTTAACACGAGATTCCTTTCCCCAACATGTAGCGGTATTTTAATAGTTAAAGGGTGTACTGATACTGACCCTTCTTTAGTGGTTTTAACTGTAGGAATAGTTTGTGATACTGTATTTTGTATTTTATTTTTTTTAGTACATTTTTATGCTCAAAAGGCTGTGGAATCTTGTTTTAAACAAACATTTGCCTGCCAGTTCGATCAAATGGCAAATTCACCATTTAGGCAAAACATAATCCACTTTCCTCCCTAAAACTCTTTTCTGTTTTATTATTAACAGAAACCATTAGCTAGAATTTAAATGAACAAGCCGAATTAATTAAACACATGTGTTATTGCGATATCCAGATAAAAGCAGCTAACTGGCGGTGGGGAGATATTAGCGTTGGGTTTTAATATTAGAGCTCTGCATGCAGCTGCAGGGAGGTTTAAATATAAGAATTCAAAAAGCATACACATGCGTAAATGAAACTCTATCTCTTGTGCGATGCTCATTTCTTTTTATAACCTTTTTGAGATGCTGGACTTAGTTCAAGATAAACAGTGGGCAGCTCTGTTGCTTTTTTAAAAAACCAACAGTCACTTAAACTACAAATGGGGTCTCAGGTCAAAGATAAGGAAGCAGCTTCTTTTGACCTGTTCTGTGTGTGCTGACTGGGGGCTCCGAATATCCACAGACTCTTGCAATTTTGAAATATGTTCAGGGCTGCAGGCTCTGCTGGGATTCAGTCTGGACATTGCTTCATTCCAAATTGAAGAGATGTTTTAGTTGATGACTTTCACTTTGATTAAGACAAAAAATTCTGGTTAACCATGCCAAGGGGATAAATGCAAAAAAAGCAAAAAAGAGAGGAAAAACCCTTGAGGTGTTTTCTAATTTTTAGACACATACACACACAGCTTGTGCCTAGTTTAAGCAAAATTTAATGGCTGCAATTTAGCGGAGACTATGCTGAAATACATGTTTTACGGATTCCGGAGAAAACGGGGGATTGTTATTACTTTCAAAACTGCCCACTTAAATGTTTATTTTGCATTGTCGGTACCTAAACAAGAACTTGACAATAATATGCACTCATAGAGCTCCAGGCAACTGTGAGCTTCCCCATTCACTTCAGTGGATGGGACAGCCCCATGTGCGCTCGAAGACTGTGCATGTGGGATGCCTGCCCCTTGCCATTGGAATGAATGGGGAAATGCTCCCCAATAGGAAAGCTCTGTATGCTTACTGGAGCCTCTGGTTTTACAAGATCACTGGATTTATCAGCACCAGTTTAATATGATTTAAGGCAACAATATAACAGTGTTAACGATCATGTAAGGCACAATGTGATACCTTTTATGACACTTGTGGGGTTGTCTGCATTACATATTTACTGAGGGTGACTTAATTAGCAGCTGACATGGGTAGCGCTGTGGGTTAAACCACAGAGCCTAGGACTTGCCGATCAGAATGTTGGTGGTTCGAATCCCCGCGACGGGGTGAGCTCCCGTTGCTCGGTCCCTGCTCCTGCCAACCTAGCAGTTCGAAAGCACGTCAAAGTGCAAGTGGATAAATAGGTACCGCTCCAGCGGGAAGGTAAACGGTGTTTCCGTGCACTGCTCTGGTTCGCCAGAAGCGGCTTAGTCATGCTGGCCACAAGACGCGGAAGCTGTACGCCCGCTCCGTCGGCCAATAAAGCCACAACCCCAGAGTCGGTCACATCTGTACCTAATGGTCAGGGTTCCCTTTACCTTTTTAAAACACCTAGGCTGAAGGCATATGGGACCAGATAAACGTATTACCTGAAGCAATGTTTGTATAGTTTAAATCTAAAGGACAAATAATTTGGGGGTAAGGAAGAAAGAGGAGAAAGCATCACACTATTAAAACTGAGGAATACCCTCTTTTGGGGCGGCATGGACTGGCAGGCTGCCATAGAAATTTGATATGTTTACTTGTTCTATGTATTTTTACTCAGTTTCTCTCTACGGAATATTACCCCATCTAAAGTTTTATAAACATTTTTTTTTTAAAAAAAAATCTTTTTACAGATTTCTTCATTTAAGTCAAGAGATGAGTCTGCTGGAAAAGAGTTTCCCCCATTTGTCCACGAGAAACCACTTAGTAAGTTTACAGATCTGCAACTCTTTAAAATACAGTATGAAAAACACAAAAGAAGTTTGATATGTGCCAGGGTCACGGGTGTCAGTAAAGCTTTTCAGACTTCCCCTACTCTCTGCAACAGCTGGATTTTCTTGGTCCAGGTTCTTTGCAACCTAATTAGAAACATACTCCATTTCCTACTTTTGTAAGATATGAAACTTAGAAAACAAAAAGGGGGATTACTTTTCAAAACAGAGGCTTGACACATGATATGCTGAATTTATAGGAACAGAATGACTTCATTAATCAGGTTTTCCTGTCTTGACAGCATATGGACTTGCCACACAACAAAAGCTTTTTTGTTTTTTGGTATTCTGATATAGGGTAGCCATGTGTCCTACTTTAGAGAGGAATCATGGAGTTGGAAGGGACCCTGAGGATCATCTAGTTCAACCCCCTGCAATGCAGGGATATGCAGCTGTCCCATATGGTGATCAAACCTGCAACCTTTGTGTTATCAGCACCACACTTTAACCAACTGAGCTATCCAGGCATGCAGGATTCCTCTGTTTGAAGGGCTGTTTAGTACAGGCATCCTCAACCTCGGCCCTCCAGATGTTTTGAGAGTACAATTCCCATCATCTCCGACCACTGGTCCTGCTAGCTAGGGATCAAAAACATCTCGAGGGGCGAGGTTGAGGAAGCCTGGTCTAGTCCAAGCCTGCTTCAAAGAGAAAGAGCCATATGGAGGGAGAGTAGGGCCAGGAAGTCGCTCACCAACTGTTTTTAACACATGGACAGAAAACTCAGCAGGCACATAGGTCACCCGGTCACAGTCTTCCCCCCTTAAAACGAGACGTATTGTACAGTGGTACCTCGGGTTAAGTACTTAATTCGTACAGGAGGTCCGTTCTTAACCTGAAACTGTTCTTAACCTGAAGCACCACTTTAACTAATGGGGCCTCCTGCTGCTGCCACGCCACCGGAGCACGATTTCTGTTGTTATCCTGAAGCAAAGTTCTTAACCTGAGGTACTATTTCTGGGTTAGCGGAGTCTGTAACCCGAAGTGTATGTAACCTGAGGTACCACTGTATTTCTATTTAAATTAAAGCAGTTCTAGGTTTGCATCCTCACATAAAAATTGGCACCTGCGGATTTTATGCACATTGGAGACTTTTTTTGTTAACACGTGGACATCTTATTTTAGGTAAGAGGTTTACAGAGGAAGCCTACAGGGATGGGGAACCTGTGGCCCTCCATTTGTTGCTAGAATACAACTCCATTCATCCCAGACCATTAGCCATGCTATCTGGGGCTGATGGGAGCTGGCAGCTGGAAGACCCACTGGTTCCCCATTCCTGGCCTGAGTTGCTGAGTTGCACAAAAGTTGTAAATAAAGAACAAGGTAGTGATTGTTTGTGCAAGGCAATTTTAGTTCTCCAGAGGTGTTTTTTTTAAGACAATTTATGAATCAACTGGAGTTTACATCTCTATCTCTTATCTCTCTAAAAACATATCCACACTGAGTAAAGTATTCCCTTTTAAAAAAACATCTCTCTCTCTCTCTTTTTCCATAGGAATCTCTTAGACAGTGGCAGCGATGTTACCACAGTGAGGTAAGCTGCCCAATCTGCCTCCAGGCTACTACTTGCCCCGTAGAAACCAACTGTGGACATTTATTTTGTGGTAAGTAAATAGGATCATTATTTTCCCCACACATATATTCATTTCATAAACATATAGCTGTCTTCACATTGCACGTAACTATAAAAGAAGAAGGGCATATAAAAGACAATGGATTGGCTCCAGACTCAGGTTGCAATCTTATCCACACTTACCACTGAGTGAGAGACCCTTTGAACTCAGCAAGACTTGTTTCTGAGTAAGGAGCCACAGGATTGCACTGTATGTTACTTGAACTTAGTTCCAACTGAAATAATAACTTAAATACAACTGATTTCAGCGGGAGCCAAATTCAACTAATTTAGCCTAGATCCATTTCAATCTTGTTTATTTGCCTGATTCTACATATCTTTTGTGCAGACAGGCTTTAATTAAAGAAAAAAATGTAGACGAGGCAGTAGGAAATACAAAATAAGGTTTTCAATATTTTGACAACTAACAGGATGGTAAGGTCCAGTTTTAAAGCACCACTGCACCATGCTACTAGCATTTTAGACCACAGCTATTTCTGGCGCCTTGCACCATGTCCTAAGGGTTCTCAGACAAGTCCCATCCCTCTAGGACCACAGCAGTGCAGTACCAGTAAAGTACAGTGGTGCCCCGCAAGACGAATGCCTCGCAAGACGGAAAACTCGCTAGACGAAAGGGTTTTCCGTTTTTTGGAGCTGCTTTGCAAGACGAATTTCCCTATGGGCTTGCTTCGCAAGACGAAAACGTCTTGCAAGTTTGTTTCCTTTTTCTTAACACCGTTAATACAGTTGCGACTTGACTTCGAGGAGCAACTCATAGAACGCAGTGTACATAGTAGCCTTTTTGAGGTTTTTAAAGACTTTGGTGATTTTTGAAGCTTTTCCAAAACTTCTTTTGCAGCCATTTGGTAAGTTAAGCTTTTAAAACTTTTTTGGGGGGTTTTGGATTTTGGGTTGGGGTGTTTGGAATTCAAGGACTTGGTGTTGGGGAGGGGTTTGCAAGAATCTGGAAGCTTGTTTTTTTCCCCTGCATTTTTATGATTTTCTGTGACCATTGGGCCACTCTGCTGTTTTTTTAAAAAAAATCTGGATTTGAATTTCTGTGTGCTGGGTGGCTGGGGGAACAGTTGGGGAGGGGTTTGCAAGAATCTGGAAGCTTGTTTTTCCCCCCTGCATTTTTATGATTTTCTGTGACCATTGGGCAACTCTGCTGTTTTTTTTAAAAAAATCTGGGTTTGAATTTTGAAATGCTCTTTACATTATGTGTGACTTTAAAGAGCACTTAATAAACTCTTGTTGTACCAAATTTGGCTTTGTTTGGACTTTTTTTGACCATAGGAACGCATTAATTGATTTTCAATGCATTCCTATGGGAAACCGTGCTTCGCAAGACGAAAAATTCGCTAGACGAAAAAATTCGCGGAACGAATTAATTTCGTCTTGCGAGGCACCACTGTACTGTAAGGTAACAGTAGGAACTCCAGCCTTTTGGAATGTGAAGTGGAAGAGGCAGCAAGAGTTCTTATCGCTACAAAATGGAAGAACGATGAAATCCCCTCAATTCATGAATGGATACAAAAGCTAAAAGATTATGCGGAGTTAGACAGTTTATCAGAAAAAATAACAAACCGAAACAGGAATTTATCTCAAAATGGGAAAACTTCAAAGTTTATTTGAAAAACAATTACAGCAGTTTAAACTCTGTTGCAGCATTTGAATAATTTTAGTAGTAGCTTTAAGAAAGATATGAAACTTAAAGATAAACCAATAATTAGTTAATTTAATTTCAGATAAAAGAATGTGTGTTGGCAACAAATAATATATAATTGAAAAAAGGAATGGACGGGAGGTCGGGTCTGTAGTCTAAGGACCACTTTTTGCTTTATTGATTTGTAATTAATATTGTGTTTATCACTGTTTTTATTTGTATTTTTTTTTCTTTTTTGGTGTATCAATATTTTTTTTTTAAAAAAGGAATGTGAAGTGGAAGAGAACTGCCCATCTCTGTTGCACTTTACCACTGCGGCATAAGCCTCTCTCTGTTGTTTAAGCAGCTAAAGTGGAGGAGCTGTAAGTCTGTGACATAGCTGGAACTGCCATGGGCGAGACAGGTCAAGGTTAGGAGGCCCTGTTTACTCCCACAATGTGTGAGGCTACTCTTAAAGCCATAATCTTCAGCCTCATGCTTTCCTCACAACTGGATTGAAGCTATAGTCATTGGAGTTTTAAGGAAAACATTCCTGCAGATAAAAGGTGCTTGCTCCAGTGCTTTTCACTGTGGTTACTGAAGCCCTTCTTAAAAAAAAGAAAAGAAGAATGAAAAAAGTTTAAGGACTTAATGGAAAGATTAACAGTAGCATCACATTAAAATCAGACTTCTTTCAGGGAGGGATAATGAAATGCTTGTTCTGTACAAATACAGTCAACTGTATTATAGATTTCAGAGGTTCAACACACTGGTCTGCTTTTCTTCTATATCATGTGATTCTCACAAAGGTGTCTTAATTTAGCTGGGATATCTAGCTGGGAGGAAAACACAGCTTTTTACTAGATGTAAAATATAGCAGGTCTAGGAAAAGTCAGATATCCACAACAAATGACAGACTTGGGACCTATAGCAACAAATGAGCATTTAATTACATGAGATGACAACAATTTGGAAAAGTTCTTTGTCACAATTGTCCTTCATTCTTAAGCCACGGCACCATCTATAACTCTAGCCACAGAACAAAATTTAATGATTTTCAGATCAGGCAGCTCTTAATGATGACTGAATCTGAGACAACAGCCAATCTCCAATATACAACTCTACAAAATGGGTTTTTTTAAAGTATATTACTCTCACTGCCCCACATTTATACAGCGTTTGCCCCCAAATGACACCATGCCTATCTGAATCATATTGCAACCCATCTGCATGCAGAATATCTACCTCACAAAGCCAGAAAAGGGTTCTGCTATAATCTGATTAAACTCTCTGCTGTAAAACAAGATCCTTCATGCATCACACCCGCACAGGAACCACTTCCTCTTCCCTTACATTCTTCATTCTGATGTTAGTATGCCACAAGTAAAAAGCAGAAATGAGTTAAGTGTCCAATAGTGGAAACTCCCACCCCAAAGACTAATTTGCTATAGCAAATCCAGATCGTTCTAGCAAACGAGTCAACATACATGGTACCAAGAAGAGATAGGATCAATAAATAATCTCAAGGGTTTTCCTTGACTCCTTTTTTCAGAGTGGCCACAGTGACACGTACATTGGTCAAGTCTAGGTTAGATTACTGCAACATGCTTTCTGTGGGTCTGCCCTTTAAGAGGGCTTGGAAACTGTAGCTGGTGCAAAATGCAGCAGGAAGAATACTATCATCTGCACTTTGCAGATCATTACACCAGTCTTACATCAATTGTTCTGGCTTTAGGTTCATTCATGTGCTCATTTCAAGGTGTTGGTTCTTACCTATAAAGCCCTAAGTTATTTAGGACCAGGTTATCTGAAAACCTGCCTTCTCTCATATTAACTTGCCTGTAGGTTAAAATCGAATTGGCAAGACTTGCAATCCAGCCAGGATCAGTGTACTATGTTCAAACCATCTTGCCCTGGTGAGCAACCTGGCTGCCGAATTCTGCACCAGCTGAATTTTTCGAACCATCTTCAGAGGCAGCATATAACGCAGTGCAGTAATCCAGCCTAGAGGTTACAAGAGCATAGACAACAGAGGTTAGGCTATCCCTTGTCCAGGTAGGGGCATAGCTGGGCCACTGGCTGAAGCTGATGGAAGGCACGCCACACCACTTTTAATATTTGCTAAAATGGTGCTTATAATAATTTGAATTATTTAATGGTTTTATTGCTTCAGCATATTGCAAAATGTGTTAGGGGCCTTTATTCAGGGCTGAAAAGCAGTACAGGAATGCTCTCACAAATAAATAAATAAATAATCAAGCATTCATCCCCCTGCCCAACCCAGTGCTGAACACTTTAAGTAAATTATTAAAATGAAATATATAGACATAGACATGTTTTGGATAGGCTATGTTTTCCTATGTCTCAAAGCATTTTATTTGAAACCTATATTTTTAATTCAATTTGGCACTAAGAAGAGCAAAGGTGGGCAAGTGTCATATCTAAAACTCATATTGTTATTTGATGGCTTTAAATGATGATCGGCTATGACTTATAGGGGGGAATGTATTATTGTTAGTCTATATTATCGTCAGGAATTCCTATATTTCTTCCAAGATGTTTCAAATTTCACCTGTATCTCGAACCATATGTCCAGGAAATGGGGTAGAAAGTTGATCCTGGGCCAATATTATTTTTCTCTAATTGCTAATAGCCAACAGAGTGTTTCTTTGGGGGGGAGGGGGAGGGACACAAAACTCTGCAGCTTCCTGGATTAAAAGTAGATTTGAGGTCAGTTCTGAAAATGTGGATATAGATATACAGAAATAGCTTTGTCGCTGCAAATGAGTCAATAGAGGAAAATGATTTACAAAACATGATTTTTAAGTGCTTTGAAAGCTGGTATGATTCTGTTTTGAGATCTGCATATGTGCCTATAATATGGTTGCAAGCGGTATAGTTGACCCATATGGATCTCTAGCATTATTCATTAAAGCTTCAGACTATTGAACAGGGCTGCTGGTATGTGCTTATAAGACTCTGGGCACCACTGCCATGAAGCAAGAGGCGATGGGTGCCTGGGGTCTTGCTGGCACTGTTCTCCACATTGTGCCCAGCCACCCTGTAAACAAAAAAATGGCTAGGAAGGGAGAAAGGGGTAGGAGATCCAGGGGCCCCGGGATCACCCCTACCCATGTCCCTGATATTGGGAGTATCCCACGGTGTAGGCAGCTGCATTAATTTTTATCTGACTTTTTCTGCCCATATCAGAACAGCTGTGGGAAAACCACATGTATTGTCAAATCAAAGAATCATAGAGTGGGAATGGACCATGAGGGTCATCTAGTGCAATTCCTGCAATGCAGGTATCTTTTTGCCATATGTGGGGCTCGACCCCACAACCCTGGGATTAAGAGTCTTATGCTCTATCACCTGAGCTACCTGAATAATTTCAGGGACGGAGTTGGTGAAGGCTTTGAAAAAAACACAACAACATCCTGTAAGATCAAGGTTTTAAATGTTGCTACTTTTCTGCAATCAACTACAGTGGTACCTCGGGTTAAGTACTTAATTCATTCCAGAGGTCCGTTCTTAACCTGAAACTGTTCTTAACCTGAAGCACCACTTTAGCTAATGGGGCCTCCTCCTGCTGCCGTGCCACCGGAGCACGATTTCTGTTCTCATCCTGAAGCAAAGTTCTTAACCTGAGGTACTATTTCTGGGTTAGCGGAATCTGTAACCTGAAGCATCTGTAACCTGAAGCTTATGTAACCCAAGGTACCACTGTACACACCATATTTTCACTCACATTTTACTGAAAGTAGGTCACACCTGGGTGGCAAATAACTCTGACAGCATCTGTTTCTGTCACTGTCCCAAGCAGTGTCCCTAAACACTGAGCAGCCTGGATTTTTTCCCCTTTCCAATAGTTTCCAGGTAGAAATGTAATCTCAGTGTGGGAACTGGATCATGGTGATGAAGGGATTAACAGGTGATGAAGGAATCTTCATGCTATGCAGGTTTTCAGTTCTTACAATACTACTTTTTCTTTCTTTTCTTTCTTTAGGTTCCTGTCTGATTGAATACTGGAAACATGGACCTTGGCTAGAAGCAATCAGCTGCCCACTCTGCAGACAGAAAGTAAGAGTTTTCTCTTGTGATCATCTGCTCTTTGGCAGTCACAAGAGGAGGTGGAAATATGTACCAGGAATAATCCTTATAAATTTACAGGCTACTACCAAACATCTGCATCTCTCATTTGATGCCTGTCAAATCAGGGAACACCTATCAAATATTAAACAATGCGCTTACAGCAGGCTTTTTATTACAGCTGGCTGGCTTCTTGCATTGCGTTCAGCTCACCCAAGATGAACTCCTTATACTCCTCTGATCTTGGCCGCTAGCTGCCTGCCTTGGCACAATGTGCAAAGGTAGCAGAATAAGGAAGGCAGCCTGCCGGGGAGGAAATTTACCCACTGGAGGACAAAGCCTATGAGTCAGGGGTCAAAGACATAATAACAAAAGGCTTATTAAAAGCATAAAACAGCACTGATTTGTCTTATAGTTCTAATCTAAAGAGACGCTTCATGCTTTTTTCTTTTTTACCTGAAGGTCATTCTTTTGTACAACATGCCTTGTGAAAATCAGCCCGACAAGCCGAGCAAACAAATTGTGTATGACATCAGAGATTACAACAAACGTTTCTCAGGACAGCCTAGGCCTGTAAGTAGCAACTTTTAGACATTCCTGGCTTAAAACGCAGCTAAGGTCATTCTCTTTCTAAATTCAGATCGAAGCTGGTTTGGGGAAATACACACTAGAACACAGTATTTCACAAGAGACAACAAGGTAGATATTCTCATTGGCTAAATTTGCACAATGCAAAACATGTATTTTTAATGGGGCAATAAGGAAAGAATCACGACTGGATGGGGGCGATTAGGAAAAAAGGAGGAAGGATTGTTGCTGGCAGGTTTTTAGTCATCCCTGTAATTCTCGTCTTCTTACTTAACAAATCCAAAACAGCAGCATGAAAAATAAAGAGTTTCATAACCTTACCCAAATTTTATGTCCAGTTCACAGATTATCTTTATGACATGCCGCTTCTCATCAACCTGGCCGTACGAGGGATCTTCACGCTGGGCGGCTTGGTGTGGATCTTCTTCCTCAGAGTTGTCATCTGTTGTTTTGGAACCTTCATGTGCTTGACTTCTTCGTTGGATCTGATGCCAGAACCTCTTTGTGGAATTCTGGGTGTGTTTGATGACCTAGTTGTTGTTTTCCTACTTTTAATCTGTATGATAAACATTTGCTCTCAGATGGAATCAGAAGGGGCGAACATGACGAGCTCTACAACGCAAAACATTTTGTTGGAATCATAACGGGCTGAAGCACCGGCTATTCATAATGGGAAAACCAACCAGACAACGGTGGATTTTCCTAGTCTCTGGAAGCGACACAGAATGGCCTTAGCTTTGAAGAATGCTAAGGGTTGGTGTGCAGCGCTGGAGTTTATGGAAGAGCAACAGTTGGGTGGAGGCTGTAACGTTAATCATGGATTAACACCCAACAACATCCACAAGCCTCTAGAAGAGCACTGCTGCCATTCTAAAATGACAATTTCACATTTGTGGTACTTAAGACTGACTCCTAGAAGGCACAGTGGCCAAGATCTGATCCAACTGTTCCACAGCTCAACAGCTCAGGTATGGCTAGAAAACATGAAGTACATATAAACATGAAAATACTGTACCGCAATTCTGATTAACGTGGAGCCCTCAAAACGACAAATGATTTTTTGCACGTCATTAAAAGACTATAGAGAGACAAAGAGGAACAGGCAGACTTGTGTGTGTTTGGCGCACACAGGGGGAAAACGTTGTCTGCTAGAAGGTCCAGTACAGACCTCCAGATTCAGCAGCTTACTGATCTAAGATAATCCTTTGCCATGTGCAGTATTACAGATACATGTATAGGGATTACGGTTTGGATATGCTTGCCAATAGTTGCAACAGTCCTCATATTGCCACCCATCAATAAATGCTCCCAAAAACTGGCACAAGGGTATTAGAATGGATCAGAAAAGGCACCTTGGAGCACCGTTATCTGAGTCTTTTGGAAATAAGCATGCTCTTTGAAAGTCACTTCCTTATGCTGAGGCTCCCAGTTGTGCTTTGGATTCAAGGTGGCTTTGTGTACTGTAAGCAGATTTCATGTACATCCTTATAGGAACTTAGGACAAAACCAAATGGAAATCTATGGTATCTGATATAAGCACTGACGTCTTGAGCAGCATGGGGCTATATAAATACAAAGGAAATAAAAATGACCAGGAAGTTCACCTCCTCTCGGAGATCTCTATGGAAACTTTAGAATCCCCTTCAAGGTTCCTGCCCCGAGTGCCTCCCAGTGAAGACAGGCAGGTGACTGCCAAGGAGAGGGACTTTTTTTGGTACAGACACTTCAGCCAGGGAATTGCCTCCTCAGAGAGGCCTTCCTGGCACCTTCCCTCCAGCAGTGCAGTTAGTACAGTTAAACCTGAGTGAATAAAGAAGTTGTACATCCAGGCTTTAAAACTAGGTTTTAAATCCCGACTGTATGCGAGGACGGTTTGTTTTTTGTTTTGCTGTCTTTTATTGTCTATGTTTGCTTTTTAAATTATGATTATATATTGTATTTTGAATATATTGTTGCAAGCCACCTGGGGAATATTTATTGGTGGGCGGCTATATAAATCTAATAAATAAATAACCAATGAAAAAACTATGAATCAAATTTATATGTAACCTGTTACGTGTTTGCATGGTGGAAAGGAATTCGGGTTTTTATGTGTTAGCTGTGCATAAGAATGCATGCATATAAATATTTATTGTTTACGGTGTTCTGAAACTTGCCGGGCATTTCTTCTTCTAGCACGTGCACACATCCTAATATTTATTTGTTTATGAAGTCCCTGGTGATATGATTGCTACAATCCATGGGTTAGCAAGTGCAGGGCAAGAAAGAACAAATGCAATATGTGTTTACAGATACAAGGTTTGCAGCAGGAGTACAGAGTCTCATAGACTGGTTATTCTGGGCAGGATCTTTCCGGTCACCTACTGTAACAATTGCTTCCTGCTTCTTGTTGCTTGAGAGACTTCATATCCTTGGGGAGGCAGCAGGTGAAGGACTGTGATCCAACTGTGCCTCATTCTACCGCAAGGTGGTGCTACAGAGCACAAATGTTGAAATGCTGCCTGGGACAACAGTGTTTAAAGGAGATCTAGTTAACTGAACCAGACATTTGTGCTATTTCTGGCTACCCATAAGATTAACCGGCTACTTTGCAACCTCATTATCTGAAATCCTTACCCTTCCTTTATGTTGCTAGGGAATAGCAACCTGGGGGAGAACCGGGGGGGGGGTGTGCAAGGAAAAGTCCAGAGGTGAAAGTTAGACATAGAGTAGGAGAATGAGCCCAGGAAAACGGAGGAGGGCAATTTATTTAGGGACTCGGGGTATATATCCTGACTTTTGATGTGAACTAGACCCACAGGGTGTAAATGGACATGTGTTTAACTCTTAGTGATCAGCTAAAATAAATGCATGAAATATTTAAGGAGAGGCATTTTATGGAAGTTCTAGATTAATTTTGCTATAAATGTTGATGGTGGCGGGTTATAGCAGAAAGCTGATTCCAGTCTAAGATGGTAGGAAGGAAAAATACAGGGTGAGTCCTTTAAAAGAGGCCCCATGGATACAGAGTACACATGTTCCATGGGGCTTCTTGTGTATTGTAAGACTTCATCTGACTTATCCCATAGCGATTTCTCATTTGCTTTCACTGGAGGCAAAAGCTCCTTCTTTGATTTGGTATTTGGCAGTAGCTTAGAGAACTTGCTCAACAGGCAATAAAGTATTCAACGTATTTTTATAAAATTAGAAATGTAAGTACATTATGAAGCATCACTGATTTAGATAAAGGAATAAAGAAACAGAATGGGGGGGGGGACACCACCACTCTTCCAACGTCATGAGTAATTCTCCTTCATGGTGTCTACAAACTCTGCATGATGGTTTTATATTCCCGCTGATGTTCCACGAGTTTCAGAAACACCTGGTACTTCTTGTCATAAAATCTGTGGGGAAAGCACAAATTGAAGCAATGAAAACTCTAGGAAAGTACTGTACTTGTAATTAAAAAAGAAAAAGAAAATAAGAATCTACGATGACCCCTTTTGTGCAGGTCACACTCACCGAAGTGAAGAGGACTTGTGCAAGGGCACACAATTGTCTTTGTGCTGCTCCTGTGTCCTTTGAGAGAGCTTACCTGGAAAATGCCTATGGCCATAAACTTTACCCCCAGTTTGACACTAAAGATGCAGGTTGATTTGTTTAAAAGAAGAAATACCCTCTCTCACTCTTGCAGGCTCCCCATTCGCAGGCTGTAAAAGTGAGGTAGAGGGAATCTGGTAATTTCTGGGGAAGGGAGGGGGACGGGAAGCAAAAGATTGTGTGTGAAATTGTCTTCATCATCAGTGGCATTCCTCCTAATCTGTATATATATTGCACGTGTCTGGGCTGACATGTTAATAAAGACCAAGGTTTCAAAGGCATAGTTCAAAATATTCTAAACTAGGAAGCTGCCCTTCCTGCCCTTGTATTTCCCCCATGGCAAGTGACAATGTATCAGACTGCTAAAGCAATGGCTGTGCTGAATACACAATAGTAATACAAGCCCACTCCCCAGCTTGTGGGAGTCAGGGGGGATTAAATTGTGAACACTTCCAACACATCTTTAATTAATTAATTAATTAATTAATTAATTAATTAATTAATATTATTATTATTATCATCATCATCATTATTAAAAACTGGATCCATCTTGCCCTGTCTCCATTTTAAAGTTTACATTTTCTTATACTAAAAACTTACAACCAGATTAAAGTCTTCATTCCAAATTGAAAATAAAAATTGGAAGAATCAATTAGGACATCTGTAGACCTTCCACTAAGCCTGTAGATGGTGCTGTAGCACTTCTCGAATAAGTTCTCTCTCCCCCCCCCCCATTGCTTTATATTATGAAGCAACATGTGCTGTAATTCATATCTGATTGGGGCACACAATATGGCATAGCACAGTAATGTAGCAAAGCTGCATTAAGAAAAAATGAAAGCTATTGTACAGCTTCGAAATAAAAAATATATTAAAGGTTTTCTTGGGTTACAAAAGTACGTGCATGAGTAACCCTGAAATAGCCCTGCAGATGAGCATTTTAATAACCCACTCACAACAGTCTTTTATCCCAAACATCCCAGTTGCCATCTTTTGTTTTTCCAATATTATTTAACCTTGGTTCTTCGCAGTGATAGATTTCGGTTCTTGCTATAGCATCTCCTTCATTCAGGGACTTTTCTCCTCCTTTGACCTCCCTAACTCAACTTTTAGTCTTCTTTTGGGCCCATGAATACATCTTTCTGCACTTATTTGCTCTGTGAACTGTTTGCTAGTTTGCTGCCTCCTCATATCCCATTCCTAATTGCATGCCCCCCCCCCCGAAAATCCCCCCCACTCTCATTTACCTCCTAGCTGGCAACTGAAGCACCACACTAGGGAAACGCCAGCTCCTGAACAGCCACATAGATTTCTGCAGTATCTGCAGTTTCTTTCTTTGTCTCAACATCCCCAAGTACTTGGGGTAGAGTTTTCACCATACATAGAGGTTGCTATACTTTCAGATCTTTTTAACCTACCACATGGTGGCCAACACACATCTGCACACCCTGGCTATGCTCAGGAGGTCTGCTTGCTTAATCGTTACCCTACTTCCTCCTTTACTCCATGTAGTCCCTTCCCCTTCCAGTGGCTCAAGTGACGCAGTAAATATGTATCAGGGTATACAACAAGTGGGGCGACAGCAGGGGGCGCAGGTGACTAAATGTGAAGGGCAGCAGAGGAAAAGCACTGGGTAGGGAAGAGTTTAAGCAGCTCCTGCTCACCCCTTCTGCCCTGCAAATTATCACCTTTACATCAAAGAAGCATACCTAGGGTCTTCAAGCACTGTGTTGGCTGCCCTATGTTTGGCTGAAATACAGGTATTCTCCCCCCCACCCACACTTATGTGAGCGTTACGTTCTGGGCCTTCATGTGCATAAGTGAAAATCAAATAAGTGGGGAGCACCCCCTACAAAACCTCTCTCTTCAACTAGAATAGAAGCTTTGGCTAGCTGGAGGCTTGAGGACGTGCTGAAAATGGATGCTGCTGCTGTGCTACCACGCATGTCAGCTGCTAGGCGGGGAGGCTGAGCAGCCTAAACAAGGCCTTCTGTGCCTCTAGTCTCCTTCAGGGCTTCCTCCACTCACATTGAAGTTCTCTTTGGGCTCCAGGGAGGGTCTCCTT